GATGGGAGTGTCCGCCAGTTCATTAGTTTTGGCGCTTTGGTGGTCGCAGTTCTGACGCTTTCTTTGGACTATTGTTGTCGTATGCATCGACGAACGAAGTCTTGGGGGTACCCATTTTGGGAGGATAGGTTCTGAAGGTACTTCATTTCTGCTTGGAATGCCTCTTCATCCGAACAATGTGTTTTTGCTCGACTGAGCAAGCTGTTGATTGAACTGCGTTTGGGGGTATTGGGTGGTTGCTCCCAAAATGTAAGAGGACTTCGGAATATGCATCTTTACGATATACTGACGTGTGGAGTGTCCCATCGGCCTTTCTATGTACGAGGACATCCAAAAATGGGAGCTGCTCTTTTGCCTCTGTTTCAAAGGTGAACTGAATTCCTGGGAAGGTGGCGTTGAGGACGTTGCTGTCTGAAGACGAACTGGGGAACCAGAGTCGAAAATTCACACATAAAAGTACTCTTTCCCAAAGAACTAATTTTATAGAGGGATGTCTGGGCAGGCAGTTTATCCTTCTCTCTCCGTATAGGGCGGGAGTAGTCGAGAACAGTACATGGGCTTTGACTGCTGGAAAGGTGGTTGCCTCCTTAGAAGTTCGCTTGGTCCGTCCTCTTTTAATGGGAGCCTGATGAATATTCCATTCTTCTCTTCTGTTAACACCGAGGACTGTCAGTCATATCCTTAGTAATAACTAGACTTGTATAGCTATTTCGTTGAACAACGCCCTCCACAATGTTTAGCCTTTCTTCGGTGCTATCAGTTGAGCAGATAACTCTCGCCCTTTACGTCAAACTTCCCAGTAAATTACGCTTGAAGTTTAAGGGAAAGAAACCAGTAAAATGAGTGTATTGTTCGGATCACGTCTACTTACGACAGACGCTACGCTTAATAGGATTGCCAGTCCTTTTCCTCAATATTACATTAAGCTGCGGGATATGAAGTAATCCGGCCAGATAATAGACGATAGAACAGAGTCCGGCAAATAGATCACCGGGTCCGAACGTATGCAATCGACAGTAGGTCGCCGGTTCTGCGTGTGTCTGAGCGCAAACAGTCACCACATTAAGGTCCTTTGTGACTTGGCCTTGGGACGTGGTTGAACAGTTGGCCAGAGAGGCTGATCTTTAACGGCGGATTTTGACATGGTGTCGTGCGCACGCGTGGTAAACATGCCAGACACACGGCCTGTCCCCGCGGCGTCCGAGGAAAGCATGGCTTAGAAATACAACGTCGCTACAAAGGAATGGGAGTGATGCGAACTGTTTTTTTTCTCGTTTAAACTTGATTGATGGGTGTGCCTGATATACGGCATAAGAGTTGTAATGTTGGTTTGTTCCAATGCAACCACAAATATATCATCCACGTAGCGCCTGTAGTTCGTCAGACTTTTTATCTGGTGACGAAGTTGCGAGGCTTCCAGTTTGTCCATGACTATATCCGCTAGAAGCGGGCACGTATCTACTCCGTCCAGTTGCCTGTACAGTTTGTTGTCAGATAGGAACTGCACATTCAAGTTATACCTTAGTGATTCCTTCAGTACACTTACTGCCATTCCTATGTCCTGCTGATTCGAGGTAATGAATTAACACACGTTATTGCCTGTTTCTGTGACCGGCACGTTCGTGAACAAATCTGGGGGAATCATCACCATACAGTTCAGGTCGCGCAGAACAGATTACATTAGGAAAATGCTATCCATACTGGCAGACAAGGAAAAGTCTAGAAAGACTGAAAATGAGAAAGATCTTACGGACAACGTCGAAACACAGTTGACTGTGCATCTGGAAACATTGCAAAAGAAAGACTTAAAAAGTGAACATGATTTAGAACGTCTCCGGCCCGTTTGCACGCACATACCTCGACTATACGGCTTACCTAAAAACTACCCATTCGTCGCATCTTAGGTATGAGAAACTAGCTGAACTATACGATAGTAAACTGGCTAGCGGACAAACTCAGGCCTAAACAGAGCCAGCTAGACCTGTCGAAGGGAGTGTTCGTCGACTGCAGAAGGTTCCCCCATTCAG